ATATTATGTATATTATGTAACAGCATTACAGGTAATTTAAAAAGTATATAATACAGTATATACAGTACATGTATGCGAAAGAAAAATTTTTTTAAATATGTAGTAAATTAGACATTTTTAATAATTTGAGGAAAAATGCACAAAATCTGTAAACTACGTTTTTACATGTGGTCCTTACAATTGTAAACTTAATTTCAAAGTGCTTAAAGTAAGTTAGTTCTCACAGAAACCTTTCGTCTATTTCTCGTGGAAAATTTCTCTTGGGATTTATCTTGGGATTTTGCTCAAGCAAGTACAGCCGGTTTGGTGCAGTATAAGGCATAGAACTATGGCATTTACGTGACTGCTAAGAACATTTTGATAGATATGCCGAATGGAACAGGTTAATATCTCTAGGTTAAAGACACATTTTCTTATAAATCTACAAACGCCCACGAATATACATACATGAACACCCACGCGAATCACAACTCATTCCGTTTGTTTGATTAATAATTGTAATGAAGTTGTCTATATCGCATCTATATAGTGTGAAATCAACGTATAATTGCACTGTAATTTTATGTAATGTAATATTACATTTACAATGGTGGTCTACTTTTTTCGACAAATGTTGTTGGTAAATGAAGTCGATGCAACGCAGTGACGCTTAATTATTACGTTCATTACACTGATATTGATTTCTTATCGTAAATAACTAGTGATCGTCTATTTATTTTGTGACGATTCTTTACCTTTTATATGTGGAAGTGAGTGAGAGTGAACTTCCTTTCACTTTTTTCTTATTAATCTTTGAAAATGTTGTGAACGTAAAAATAATATATAAACATATATGGAAAAAAAAGAAAAAATTTCATGATTGTGTTTCGAGATTGAAAAAGATTTCGGAGGATAGCTTATAGAATTAGATATATATATATATATATATAAATTTACACAGAAATATTTAAGTACTATAAGATCCGCTTTGACCGAAAATAGGATTTCTCTTATTTAATTAGATTTATTTTTATCAATTACAATTTTAAATTATAATTTGATATTCTTAATTTCATATTTCTATATATTCACATTAGTCTTCCGGAGCTTTGAAAAATTTTAACGCCCACGGCAACTCGATGGTATTCTTAATAGCCCAAATCTCCAAGGGACGTTCCAAAGAACATTCAGAGGATATCCTCATATGTATGTCCTAAGAAACGTTCAAAACGTCCCTCAACTAAAGTATGCTATTCAGTATATTTTGAAACGAAATAAAAATTATAAAAGTAAACAAAATTTACTAAGTATATACCGACCAATAAAATTATAAATATTGTAATAAATTTGCTCACTTTTGTAATTTTTACCTCATTTCAAGTATTGGCGGCTTTTTGAAAAATTTATAGCAAAATATTATATATACATTTTTTGTAATATTTCTGAAATGTTTAATTATAATTTTCAAATTTCAAAAAATTTTTTAATTTAACAAACTCCAAGATATAAAAAATATAGATTCTATTACATTATGGATCTCCTTTTGTGTTGATATAATTTTAAATAAAGTGCTTTATGAATTATACATTTAATCCATACAGCAGAAATACATCAGATATCTTAGAGATATCACATATCTCAAATATATCTTTAAGATATCTTTAAGATGTATTTTGGACACATTTGCTGTGGAAAATAATATTTGTTCAATGTAATAATTTAATGTTCTATCGTTTTATATTTGACTTTAAAAAAAAATTTCGTCAATAATTTCAAGATATACACATAATAATCGACCTCCAGGTTTTCCAGTGATTTCTCCACAATTGCAAAAAACATATTATCATCAGGTGTTATCTTGGTGCAAAATGTCTTCAAAATGCTTCTAGATCTTCTAGATGACACTACTCATGCAGAAAATATGCAGCGCAAAGAGCAAGTTGAAGTTGCCAGATCAGCTAGATGGCGACGGTAGTTCCATTGCCGGCTGATTAAACTGGAGAAAATTGGACCAGAATTGATCATCGCAATCGCGATAATAGTGATTGCAAATAATTGCGAGCGAGAGAAAAGAACTTGTATTTTTGCGACGATTTGAACAGTTCTCAGGACACTGTAAAATTTGCGACGACACTGTATGTTCAATCGCAGACACGTGACATTGATGATTGACAAAAAGTCCTTCGGAGTTTCTCGCGAGATATGCTGGTTTTGAAAGTAAGGTAGAAGAGCGTATCTGGCACCGCATAATTTTCAAGAGTTGCGAGAACGCTGCTTTTGGTTTCTAGGCGACCGTTGTTAGTTGCTTCTTTAGAAGCACTCGTATCCTTGGAAGTTTCCCTTTGAGAAACAGCTCGGCTTCCATCGAAACCGAAGGAAAGATGTCGTTCGAAGATGAGAAACGTAAGGATTTTCTTTCAGTTAATGATTAATTAAATGGAGCATAATCAAGGAATTGTGAAGTATTCTAGTGTCTCTTTTCATTATTTCTTTATTAAATAGAAAGGTTCTTGAACATGCCGCCAGAGGAAAAGAGAAGCTTTTACAAGGGAAAGGTAACTACTCTCGATCAGATTTGTACATGGTCAGAGTACTGGGATAAAAACAAGTCTAATATCACCAAGACCGTTGAAAAGGCTGAAAAAGTCGATGAGACCCTAGCTAAGAAAGTATGTATGTGGCAAGGAGACATAACGTCGCTTGAGATTGATGCAATTGTCAATGCTGCTAATTCGAGTCTTTTGGGAGGTGGTGGAGGTATAAAATGTTCTCAAATATTTGTCTGCATTCAGCAGAAAAAGTAGCTTTGTAACTGTTACAAAATTCTTAATATGATTAGTTTATATATTTAAATCCATTCAGGAATTAAGAGTAATATTATGGTAAAGGATCAATTACATTAAAGAATTTTACATTTTATAACAGTTGCAAAGCTGCTTTATCTGATGAATATATATATTTTGTAACTTTATGTATTTGAGAGATGTTTCTATGTATGAAATAATGACAAATATTTTAGTTGACGGAGCCATTCATCGAGCAGCAGGACCGTATTTAAGGAAGGAATGCGCGACGTTAAAAGGATGCAAAGTTGGCGAAGCTAAAATCACAGGAGGTTATGAACTGCCAGCTAAATGTAAACAATTTGTTGCAAGAGCTCATAATCTATATTTTATTAAAAATAACTTAATTAAATTGAAACAAAATATATTTTATTTATTCTAGATATTATCCACACGGTTGGTCCACAAGGTGAAAAGTCTGATAAATTAAAAGAATGTTACGAGAATAGTCTGACTCTGGCTAAAGAGAATCGTCTGCGTACTATTGCATTTCCATGCATATCAACTGGAATTTATGGATATCCACAAAGACCAGCGGCCAAAGTAGCTATATCGACCGTTAAAAAGTTTCTCCTCGATAATAAAGATACTGTAAGATTGCACATGCATTCAACAAATTGTTACTTTAGTATTTACAATTGAAAGTACACGTCAAATTTTTATTATATCTTTTCAGGTGGACAGAGTCATCTTTTGCTTATTTCTGGACACTGATAAAGACATATATGAGGAGCTATTGCAAAAATACTTTGCTCTTGATTAAATATTTGTTGATAGATAATTTTCTACTTCAGCAAAGTCCTTCGCAACATGTTTGGTGTAATTTTAGATATTGTATTTGAGGAATAAGTACTCACGTAGAATTATAATATACTAGTTATCTCTTATTGCTTTTCTAATTCTTTTTATTTCCAAAACGAGTCAATTCTAATAGCTATTCGCGGTTCTGATGAATCCGGACATTTTCTTCGAGTGTTATGAAAAATTATTTATGACAAATGTTTTTCACAAACTTACATAATTTTACATAATCTTACCCTTCAGATTTTGACCTTCAAATTGAAAAAAAAATTAGGGATGTGATATCACTTAACGCTGCAAATACTTCGTTGACCAATCAAAAGAAAGAATTTCACGAATTGACCAATCAAAGAAGCTTCAAAGCATTTGCAGCGTGAAGTGGATCGCACTCTACGATGGATTAATAACTATGATAAATTGCCATGCAGAATGAAATAATTATTAACTTTATACGTTAATTAAAAACGACTAGATCTTAATTCTAAAAGAAATTTCTTGTATTTTTTTAAATTTATAAATTCAAACAATACCATATATTATAATTCCTTAGAAATGTTATCTCGGGGATAGGAGGATCATGAATTAATTTTTAAAATAAAAATAATAACAATGATATAATAATGAATTCGATCATTCATACTATAATTGAATTAGTCAATATTAAAGATTATTATATGAAATATCCGATTACGGTGTTATAAGATAATCAACTTTGACAATGATGTAATATATATTTATTTAACAATGTCATTATCAAGTATTTGATCGTTTAAAACATATTTATATACCTTTACATTTAATTTTGCTAAGTTCACGTATGGCAGCTTTTAATATGCAGTAATCTAGCGTATTGCAAAAGTGATCGAATTCACTAGAATTTTGTCGTAAAATTAAAAATTAAATTTAAAAAACTTGAAATTAAAACATTTAAATACATTATAAATAAAATAATTAATTTTTAATAGTAATAATTTAAAAGCTTGTAAATAATTCAGTTAATGTCAATTAATTAATAATTAATAATGATTATTAGTTATTGTCTTTAATGGTTATTAATGATTAATAATAATAATTATTATTATTAATGATTAGTAACAATAATTTCTATTAATACTTATCAATATTAGTTTTTAACAATAATCGTTAATTATTAACTATTAATAATTATTTTTATAAATTATTAATTACAAATTGATTTAAAGTAAATTATTTACAATTTTTTGAATTTTGAATTATTAGAATTTTGTAACATACAGAATTTTCGAAAATCCACGATCGATTTGGGATTTTCGCACGATATAATTTGCTGTTCGATATTCCGAAATGCTCCGATCGCCCTGAAGTCAACATCGTTGAATTCAAAATACGCGCAGCTAGGCTGCTGCTGGCGACTGACGCGCCATCTTGAGGATCGACGACGGCGCGTCGCCATCATGAAAAACCTGAGGTGCTGTGATATATGTGCGTGGCGATAGGTGGGGGTCGGTCATTAACGCGGTGTATCTCGGAGACGGGAAATTTGTCACAAATGGGCGAATATTCCTGAGCATTGAGGACCGGCCCGATCGTACGAGCCGCGAACTTTTCGCGTTCATGTCTCGCGACACGGCACGATAAACATCAACGCCGTTGTGCTCGTTGTTGCCGTCGTGATCAAGATCGTCGCTGTCGTCGCCGTGGCCGCCGTTACTGTCGCCTGCCGTCGCCTCGAGCACACCCAAGGGACTCTCTACAGTCGGTCGCTCCTCGCCGATCTACGGTGCCCGTGGCGAGGGTGTGCGCTGTGCGATCGCGATCGTACGTACGCCCAGTGAAGTAGAGTGAGTACAGTGTTGGGGAGAGAGGGAGAGAGAGAGAGAGAGAGAGAAATAGAGAGGAGAAGCACACATACGAGTGTGTCGATAGCAGAGCCGAGAGCGTTGTGGGGTTGGCGATCGTGCGCCGGTCGGTGCCGCGTATTGCTCTGAGCGGCGAGCGACAGCCGAGCGTGTCCAAGCGTCGTGAGCGTGCCGTTGCCCGTCCGCGTCGAACGATTGTCGTCGTCGTCGTCGTCGTCGTATTAGCCTACGCCCGCTCGGAGTCGAGTCGTCGTCGTGCAACGTGAGGAGAGCACGAGCGAGCGTGCCGTAATGGGCGAACGAAACGTGCATGCGCTCGCGGCGTGAGCAGCATCATCTTTGCGTTCGACCTCGCGTACACTCCGAACGTGAAGAAGAGAACCGTCGAGTAATCGCGAGATATACCTGGAGGGAAGAGAAAGAGAAAAAGAGAGAGAGAGAGAGAGAGAGAAAACGAAAGAGACGCACCACTTGATCTCGACGAGAGAGAGAGAGAGAGAGAGAGACGAGCAAGGCAGACGTACGTACGCAAACGGACGGACGGAGGTCCCGTAATCCTGAATGGCCGCCGCGGCCGCTTTCTAGGTTACTGACGGACAAGGAGAGCGCGCGCGAGGGAGAAAGACGCGGTGAAGTGAGAGAAACGGCGATCGGAAGAGGTAAAACCGCCAAGAAAGAAAGGAAGTGAGAAACGAACCTCGTGTGCGTGCGTGAGTGAGTGAGAGCTAAAAAAAAAAAGAACTGTCGTCCGCGAGAGAGAAAGAAGGAGAAAGACGAACTTATAAGGACGGATTGAGCGAGGGGAAGAGAAAGAGAGATAGAGAGAGAGTGAGGGGGGAGAGAGGGGAGGGAAGAGGACAGACACAGCGAACGACCGTGAGCGCTCTCGCGCGGACGCGCGCGCGCGCGCACACCCGCACCCGCTGAGAGACTCCATCATCTCCGCCGATGTACGGTCACCGAGGAGGTGATCATTCACGCAACGTGCGAACGCCGTGTCCTGGACGTCTCTCCCGTGCTCGTCGGCGAGATCTCGCCGTCACCCGCGAATCGTCGCACGCGCCGACGGAAGTCTAAAGCCCGTCGGCGCCCGTTGCCGTCTTCGCGTATATTATAACTTGCCGCCCCCGTTCACTTATCGCATACACCGTTACCACCACCATCACCGCCACGATCATCACGACGACTACTACCACTGCTGTCAATCGCCACCGTCACCGCCTTCGTCCTCGTGCGTCCTCGTAACCGCCGACGTCGTCGCCGAGGCTTAGCTCGCATGTATGCATCTCAACACGTATGTATTTATTGTTGAAATATAAAGGGGAAAGAGAGAAAGAGAGAGAGAGAGATAGAGATAGAGAGAGAGAGAGAGAGAAAATGGGGAGCTCCTGCGTGTAACGTTCTTATATGTGGGAATATGAATGCATTCGAGAGAGTTGCGTGTGCGTAGGTGAGTGCACGGTGCCCTAAGTGTCCAAAAAAACAGGGAGGGAGAGAAGGAGTAGCCAACCGAGTTTGCCGCGAGGAGTCACTTCGTTTTTCTTGCTCGTCTCTCTCTCTCTCTCTCTTTCTCTTTCTTCCTCTTCCTCTCTCGATTTGGCTTCGAAGAGGTTTTCTGCCCCCGCTCTCTATTTCTGTCTCTTTCTGTCCTTCCATTTCTCTCTCTTTCTCGACATATTTCAATCAGTACTAGCTTTCTTAATCCTAAATTTTCGTCCATCATCCAATTGCCACTTCTCAAACAAAAGGAGGATCTTTCTTCCTCCCCTTTGGGAGCGGTTTTACCCTGTTAGCGCGTGCAGATTTCGCCCCAGAATCGATCCGCGGATTGTGTATCCATATTTGTCAATTTTCTCTTTATATAATTTACTTAATGTTTATTATGTAGAAATCAGTTTCTGAGTTTTGAATTTTAACGTCAAAATTCGATGAGAGTTTTACTAATGAGATCCGCCTGATAAAACATTAAATTGATAGAGAATCATATGCCGGTATTCATAGTCAGTTCCTTGATATAAAAAGACCAGATGTATCATTGCGCGTAATAACAGCTGAATATAATTGGAGACAAATTTCTGATCAGTGGCACATTTCTGATTATGCTAGCTTATAAAATTTGATCAATTTCTAATTGATCACAAATGTCATTGTTTTTAATACAATTTCTCACATTCTTGAAATTGATTCATCTGGTCTTCTCACATAGTCAATTCTTTTTTTAAGATTGTCTAATGCCCTGTGCATGTGTTTCTATCAATGCAGTTTGATCTAATCTCGGTTCAAATAATCTTTATCTTTTTCTAGTTTTAAGAATAAGAAAAAGATGACGAGCAAGTTGAATCGAGACCTACATTGGTAGAAACGGGCTTAAGTAATGCCTTAAGAGGTTAACACAGCTTTTGTAATTAGCTTAAGACGATCTTAAATATAAGAATCGATTATGAATACTGGCCATAAGCATATAATTGTCCGCGACACTATTATATTTCTCGTTAAATAAACCGGAGTTCTACATCATGCGATTGGGTCCTTTGTTCTACACATTTATTTTCTTCGAAAAACTAGAAGCATCAAGTAATTAGTTGTAACATTTATATACAATTCTTTTAAATACACAACCTTATCAATATTTTCTAAAAATGTTAAAGTATGTATATAAAAATCACTAAATAATTTGGGTATATTTGTTAAAATTAATCCGGGGCACGAATGACTCATCGTGTGTAAAGAATTGGAAAATCATTGTGTGTTCTAAGGATTAAGGTGAAATCCACGCCTTTTTTATGATCTGAAACGTGAATCATGCAGGGCATTTAATACGAAAATAGACACAAGAGACCGCTGTTAATCAGAAAATTTTTTGCTAGACTAATTTTTCATATAAATCTTAAATTGTGAATATTAATCAAAAGAATGTTTTTCTAACTTCAACACATGAGTAAAGGATCAATCGTGAAGCTTACTCTAAAATTATATAAGCATAGTTGTGAGTGTAGTTATAAGAATTGACCAATCGAATATTCTTCTTACATTCAATTGTAATTGAACGGTTCTTGCGATCACTTACAACTACGTTTATACAATTGTAGAATAGGCTTTAAGGGTATAAGCTTTCGAGTCAAACCGAGCTTCCGTTTCCGTTGCATGCGTGTTGATTCGTTCGATCTCTGGAATACCAGTGCACAATTATTGAACGTTTTATATCTCTATTATCGCCGTAGCATGTCGCTATACCGATCGAGACGATGCACACGTGTTAAAAGCTCATCAAACGTTATCAAAAATTCAATACTTTGCGGTTCGTACAAATGACTTAACTTGGAAAAGAAACAGATCGTGTAACTTACGTGAAACTTTAATGTACGAAGAAAGAACATTTTTTTTTGTTTTTTTTTTTTCATATTTTACGAGTGCAATCGTTACTAAATCAAACTTCAAGATACTTCTTGTGTATCTTTAGTACACTGCTATTTCTTATTTTTGCGATAATTGAAATACTAATCACATAATTCCCAAAATAATTTGAAGTTAGCGGATGATTTCTGACGTTTTATTGAAAAACCGTTTTAAGAATTTTTTGCATTTTAATCCATCCATTCATTTTAACTTGAACTGCAGATTATTATTGCAACGTTAATATTAAAGTGAATTAAAGCGAATGTAAAAAATAAATTAGAGCGACGTGCGAATTGCGCAAGAGCATGTTTAGAAACGTAACAGATAATCTGTTATAAAACAGATTTCTCTCACGGCGGAGGTATCAAAGCTTCATAGCATGTGCATCGAAATGTGTCAATGATAAAGAATAAATAGCATTTGCTTTCCATAATTACGTAGAAAGCTGTTCAGGCAATCCGCTCTGTGCTATTGTTTACGCATTGACGCTCAACTATTTCATATTATCATATAATCGATGGATGCTAAACGTAGCTTCACAGAGTGTCTGATGAAATAAAACTTTTCGCATTCACGAAGCATATTAAATAACGAAAGTTTAATGAAGCGTACAAGTACATTTCCATAGATAAAAGTTTATTTGTAGTTTAAATTTTACTCATTAATAATCACACCATTTATTTCCACTGTATGTAGTTTAATTTTAATTTTGATTCCACTAACTCTTCACTTCTTTCTGATTCTAAGAATTAAAAAAAAATGAAAAGCAAGTTGAACTGATTTAATCTACATTGGTAGAAATAGGTTTCATATCCGTTTCCATCAATGTAAATTAACTTGATTCCACTCACTCTTCTTTTTTTAATTCTTAGAACTAGAAAAGGATGAAAAATAAGTTGAATCGAGATTAAAGTTAATCTACAGAATCGATAGAAACGGGAATAAAATATACATAGAGTGTAAATCTAATTTTAATTACGGTCGTAATTCTTTAAGAATGCCAATCTTTAAGCATCCCACTTTTCTTTGCAAACAAAATGAATTGAGAGTTGCGTTTGTTTGGTCTCAAACTTCTCGAACGTATATTGAGCATTCACCGTACACGTGTACGGCTTTGGTATTTGCTGTATCGGAAACATGTTATTGTAAAAGTTTCTATTGTGACAATATGTTGCCATCCCATTGAGTGGCTCGGAAACGTGTTCATGACCGCCCATTTCCTTGTAGTCTGGCAGCATCGGTCACTCTCTTGCCGATCGAAACGGTTTTTTATTACTTGTCTGGCTCTTCACCCATCCTTCCATCCTTTCCTTTCTCTCCCTCGAAAGAGTGCTGACCTCTCTATCGATTGATAGAAAAATTCTACTTTATTCTAACGTTTTATCGACCATTTACTGATCATAAATAAATTTGAATGTTTTTGTATTAGTTTCAATTCAAGTTCAGCTTTTAAAGAAATATTTTTTAAAGATATATCTTGATAAAAAAATTTATTTACTTGTAGTTGTAGATATGTCAACCGTTTAATTTATATGTAATTTGCATATGAGTAACGCTTTCGCTAATATTTTTCTATTATAGTTTAGAAATAACAATGTAAATAAAATTTTATTTTAGAGAGAGAGAGAGAGAGAGAGAGAGAGAGAGAGAGAGGACAATGACTCGTAACATTCATAAATTATTTTTTGCAGTCGAAAGCGTCATGTATAAAAAGAATATAAAAAAAAGACAAGTAATGAAAAAACGTAGCAATTATAAAAGTGGTGTATGCGTGGGATTTATCATCAGGAAATATCCCTTGTTCATTCTGCACATTACGTTCTACTTTAATTGCTTTTTGTACTTTCACGAGCGCGGATACGCCGCAATCGGTGTTTGATACGCGACGCCGCTCGCGTTACATCGTCATTGTTCTCCTAATGATACATCCTAATGATAAACTAACTTGCCGGAACAACTCTGTAATGTCGTGTCCCTATAGGTGTCGCATCGCACGATGTAATTATCGCGTACTCATTGACAAAGTGTACGGCATCTATAAGCACAGTTACCTAACTTTGACAATACCTTAGTCTTATTTATAATTGCACCTAATTGGGAGTATTCAAAAAACATTATATTCTTATCGTCAGAAAACCGTCTATCTCTATTTGTGGATTCATCCCTTTTATTTCAATCTCGTAAAATTTGTGTTATAATGAATAAACAAATCAATACGATCCCTTTGATCTTCCAGCATTTACTGTCATTTCATCTATGCTTAATACATTCTGTACACGATTGATTTAACGTCCTTTGTATGGACTAAATGAGCAAAGTGCGCTTTCAAAGACAGCATCGATAGAGACAGGATGGATCGCAGAGTAATCTTCTTAACGTGTGAGAATCCGTCGCCCGGCGACGATTTATTCTTGGATTACGCTATGGAAGCCGGGCTTCTAGCTTTATGTAATACCTTTCCTCGTTGTGCTATCGCAATTTTGTCCACTGGCAAAAAGCCGCGGGAACTGCACGAGAAACACGCGCCATTCGGCACGACGAAATTGGCGATGTATTGGCCCGATAACGGTACAACAGCATTTTGACACGTACGTTGCCGCGGACAGATCCGATGAGAGGACTATTGATATTTACGTTCGATACGATATCGGCGATTACATTTTGTACAATCCCTAAAGTATTACGGTATTACTTTTTTTTTTTTTCTGATAATAAAACAGAAATAATAAAACTGTGATAATATGTTTATATGGAAATATCAAAGTAAATAATTGATATATATTTAAAAAAAACGCAATGTATATAATATGTAAAATAATGTTTGTGTCGTAGAGAAAGAGAAGAGAGAGAGAGAGAGAGAGAGAGAGAGAGAGAGAGATGGCTTGATCAATAACTGAA